TTAAACAAGCGTTGTCGTTACGTGCGTCGATATTGATTAAACAAAAAAAGAAACAGCGCGCATCGCTGATATCCGAAGTTAGTAGTGACACAAGATGTATTGCTCGTATATAAGTGCCAGGACAAATCTCAACAATTATTTTATCAGTATTAATAAAGTGTAAGAGTTAATTTCCAAAAGAAATAAGGGGGTATTATCTCTCTTTAGAACCTACCTATATGTCAGTATCGACAACTTTCGTCTATATACACACGCACGCAAGTACGCACGCACGTGCACACGCACACACACACACACACACATATATATATATATATATATATATATATGTACATATACATCTATATATGTATATTCAAATTTACATCACTCATTCATCAAATAATTTTTTTAAACTATACATAAATAAAGTGGAAAATAGAAATTTTGTATTACAGAAAAAAATTCTAAATCGAAAAATTACTACCAAGCGATTCGAAAAACTATAAACAAACTTCTATGCAAATAGTTAGTTATCAACTCTATATCTGACTCGATCGCATAGAAGGGAAAGAACGTATCTTATAATTTATTCTATTTTATTTGCTAAAATATATTCCAGTTGTGAATTATTTCTGTACCGGAAGATCGCTCAAACGGAACGATACATACTCAACATCAATTTCCTGTTATAAATGTCGTAGGATTATTTCTCTTTTCATAAAATAATAAATTTATTACGAACAATGAATATTGGTGCGATTATACTAACGTGATAAAAAAAAAATATTTTCTTCAATCTAAAAAATTAATAGTTAATTGAGAATAATTATATATAGTAAAAACTGTCATATATTACAAAAATAAATTTTAAATTTTTAAACATAAAAATAATGTAAGGCAAATTGTAACTGACAATACAAATCCTATTATGCGTAAACGCTGCAATATTTAAATTATATGTATAATATATGTATAATAATTTTTTTAATTACAACAATACATATATATAATATGTATATAATATTGTTATAAAATATGTTTAAATTACCCTAACACTTTGCATTAAAAATACACATTGTTGTAATTAAAAAAATCATGTTTTAAGTCTGATCTATAATTGCGTAAACGTAGTTGTAAGTAGTTGTAATTGTAAGAAATCATCATAGTAGGATATTCTCCTCTACTCGACTGTGATTAGTTTTATAACTACAATTATTATACTTACAACTACGTTTACCCAATTGTAGAGCGGGCTTTAAAGTAACAATTTTATGACCACATAATGCTCTTGCAACCATATTTTATTGAGGGAAAAAAGTTCTAGATATTTGTGTTAATTTCAGAAGCGGCTATCCATCGCTCATGAAAGAAATTGAGAGTAACCGATCGTCCTTGTGAAAACAATGCTATAAAGTAAAGATTCTCATTGTCTCGCTATTCTTTCTTCAGCTTCGTTTAAGGCCTATCTCTCAATTTTTTTTAAATTTTTTCTACGAAATGATATAGAAATTATTTTAGAAATTTTATTGCTGTTACGTGCTTCTATAATAAAAATAGAAAAATGTCAACGACGTTAATAGTTCAACAACTGTAGAAGTTATCATGCGTCTCGTGAACCCTAATTTGGGCAATCTTTGGAAAAGGAGGTCATATCCAGAGACTCATCATTAGTCGATCTTAATATTTTTTTCAAATAAGGAATTAAATTATGATAATAAAATTATTCTGAATATTGAAATAATTCTATTCACTCCCGTAAATTATTTTCTGCAAAATGAAATTTTTTACAAAGTAAAAATAAGTTACTTTTCTTCAATTTAAATTACAAAATTCTTTGCTGAAATATTCCTGCGAATTTCAATCCAAGTTTAATATTATTAGTAAACTTTAATTTTTGCGCAACGGGTGTGAAGAATCGAGTCACTGAGAGAACCGGACGAACGTCGGATGCAGCTTGCGATTCGATGTGACCAGATGTGAACTTTCACCACCAATCAAGTCTTGCATTAGCTATACACATTCCGCCATCGTTTACACTTTGTCTGTTGCATCTCACACGCGCCTTATCACTTTCGCTGATGATGCGTCGCTATATTAAATTACAATATAATAACTTTCTTTCTTACTCTCTTTATGATTAATCACACATCGATTTTGTATAATATGGACCTATTTGTATAATATGGATCATAGAAATTATATGGATCTATTTGTATAATATGGATCATAGAAATTAACCATTAAATAAGCTTGAACTTTCCTTACAGCAGTTAAAAAGTAATTACGTTAGATTTATTAATGCGTCTTTTCTTTTTATATTAAAATTTGCAGAATATGCGGTGTCATTGCGGGCACGCTAGCTGACAGTCCATCGAATATCGTGCAGATATCCGATGACAGTTTGACTCGAAAAAATGTCGCAGCAACGACATATCAACCACCGCGAGCCATCGCGATTGAAGGTAGATTGCACATCATTTAAATTTAGACTTTAGAAACTTGATCGTATCAGTTCATAAGTTCAATCAATTGCAAGTTAAATTAATTTAAGGAAGTATGTTACAACTCAAAGCATTATTAAAAATATGAAAATTTCATAGGTTGTTCTATTATTAAAATCCAAATTTGTTGCCTTATTTTTTAGAATTGTTTTCAGGACGTATTTATGACAAAATTATTGACTAATATCGGCTTTTTAATTGATTTCAACCAAACAGCCTTAATTAATGTAACATTGAATAGGTAAAACAATAACAATGAATTCTTGTTTTAACGAAATCATTATATACAGATTTTTCAAACCTGTGACAATCCATCCTAAAAATTATTGTATTTTAATACGTTTTTAGAATTTTTAGCGATTGAATAAAATTGAATTAAAGAATTATGATAAATTTTCAGACTTTGTGACATCGCACAAGTTGCCAGAAAACGTAGCGAAACCATTGGACGACTATGATGACGAATACATCGACGAAAAAAAAGTCACATTTAAAGACAATAAGCAAGCTAAAAAAGTAGCTCAGAAGTTCGAAAATATTGAAAAAAAAGTGGCTACCCTCGAACCTGCCAGACGTTTAGATCTGGCCGAAGAGGACTTGGAGAATCTCAATGCTAAAAGACAAACACGAGTTGAGCTCGAAAATTTTAGTGACAGTGGAAAGGTTTTGCAGGAAGGCAGAATACAGAAAATTGATTCTAAAAGGCCGCGACCAAGTGAACAGGATGAGGTTATTCCGGGAGTCTATGTCAGGTAAAATATTTTTGTATAACTCGCTTGTTCGTAATCTGTCTATAAATGAAATGCGATGAAATAAATTTTTGATAAATCACAATAGCCGATAAATAATTGACACTAAAAATTTTTATTCAAAGAAAATTTTTTACTAAAAAATGAAATATTCTAATTTATTTGCTTTGTTTAAAAGAATAACAATTTTGTCTGTTTTTAATAAACAATATTCTCTTTCTCTCTCTCTCTCTCAAAAAAAAAAATTTTTTTTCCTGATAACAATATAAATATTATTTGCATATGTTTAGCGCGGAATATCCAACAACTATGCTACCCATCCTAACAACTCCACGTGAAGCACGTAGCAAAGACAACCTCTTTGATTTCGTTCCTGTAAACATTATTCGTGAGGATAGCAAAGATGGTTATGCACGGTTTTCAGACGCAAATTTCGGAGACTTGGGTGACGTTAGTTTAGTACCGGCTGGTACGAATTCTCGTATTCAGGTATATGTAAAATTAATAATTGATTATACATTCTCCTTATATTTGATTTAATAGAATGCATGCAACAAGAATTTTACTAAAAAAATATAAACATGTGAATTTTTAAATCGGTCGCCACGACTTTGAAGATATTTCCGATGGATTGATGACAAAAGATTTCTAATAAAAATTTTTTATATTTAATAAAGAATTTATTGTGTAAGAAAAATTTCTTATTTCTTAAAATTGCTTATTTCTTAACAAAAAAAATCAAAGTAAAATTAATTATGTATTTTTCTTTCCATATTTGTAGTATACCAATAAAATGACGAATTTATCCATGTATCTATATATTATGTATCATGTTAATTATTTGATCCCAAGATAATTTAAAAGACAACATAAGCAACGAAGAATCTATAGTCAATAACCTAAAGCAGTAGAACATATATAACAAACATATACATATAATAGAAACATACACAGAAATAGTATAGTCATAAATCGAAATTACATAAATTGAAGCACATATAAAGTGACGACCGATTTCTAGGAACACGTTGTACATGCGTGGTTTAATTTTATGTTGTCCCCCACAAAAATCACATTTTCGATTAAATCACAATTTGTTTCTTTTTACATAATAGGTGAAGAAAGGACCGAACGGGAAGGATTACGAATATGAGTATGTGTATTATTACTACGACGAGGAGGATGAAAACAAAGCAGGTACTGCGGGTTCACCTGTGACGAATTCTTACGACATTCCTTCCAGAACAACCTCGGCGCCCAGGAGAGCTTCCACCAACAACAGGAGCAAGTACAGTTCCGTGGAGAGGTCAAGCACCGTGGAGCCTAGCAACAACGAGGTCATACCAAATAGAAACGGTAATCGAGGTAGACAATTAGTTGAAACTGAAGATATTTCCGAGGAAAGACTACCTGCGAACACTCGTTTTCCACCGAGGTATCTATCACAACTGTGTGGTAAAAATTTAATAAAATCTATAAGTTCACAATTACCTATATAAATGTTCTTAATAATACACTGACATTTTAAAAATGTAATATTTTTTCTAAGGGTACCTTTCATTTGGCGCTCACAATGCTCAAGCATTATTTGTCCCTGTTTAATATTTGAAACAATAAGGATGAAATGATTTCATGAGCGTTGCGAATGTCAAATGGAATGCAGCCTAAATAAAATATGATTAATTATGCTGTTAATTGTTACAGATCGCGATCAAATCACAATACAGGCACAACGGAATCTTCACGAGCTCGTAGTAACCGACCGCGACCGAATCTGGATTTGGTTGATTCCAGCAGCTTCCGAACTCATCAAGAGGGTCCCGAGTTTCCGCAAACCTTACCGAAAGGACCAGTCAGATTCTTAGGTGTTACCCCTAATGAGGACAATGAAGAGAAATCTTTGGTCAGAAACCGCGGAAGACCACAAAAGGTTCAAGAACCCGCTCCTGTCGAAGAAGATGTCGAAGACACACCGACACCTAGAAGACGCCTGGGCATTACAGCATCGACTGAAGTAATTATTCTAACTATTGTATATTAAAATAAGTTGTTTATTTTTTAAAAAAAGTATTCAAGTATAATATAGATTTGCATTCTAATCTAAAGAGCATTCATTAATCAAGACATTTTAATATAAGTACATTGGTAACAAAAATAGAAACATTAACGTTTAAATAAAATACAATCTGCGAAAACTAATCTAAATTTGAAATAAATATCAGATAGCACTTTATAATCAAATGCATTTTAATGCTTAATTAGAATTGCAAAAATTTTATTACAGGAGTTGTTAATTACCCAGTAAACATCAATTAACATATATTATGTTTTATAATATATAGTTTAGTTTTAAATAACATAGTTCTAATTTCTCACTTAACAATCACATTAACATAACATTAACACGTGTTATATGAATGAGAAATTACGTTACTGTTAGTTGATGTTTGTTAGATAATTTTGTTACAACTAAAAATATTTTCAAGTTACGAAGATATTACACAGTAAAATAAAGAATTATACACGAATAAATCAATTTTCAGACTGGAGTCGAACTGAGCAGAGGTCAACCGATACATCATTTCAACGAAGAAAATGATGATGAGGAAAGTGACGCACCGGAAAGATCAGGCAACAAACGCGTACCTTTGGAGGACAAAACGCAAGAGTCTAGTGAGACGGAAGCTTCGCCGATCTATCCCAGCGTCACTGCTGATCCCACAGATAATCCAACGACGGAATATCCGTCAGTTATGGACAAGGTTGCTCTGGATCTTTATGCTTTCCTGCAACAAGGACAAAGTAATCTGATAGACGCGGCCAGCAGCGATGCTAGCGAAACAGATGGAGATAGCACGACGATATCCAACGATGAGATCACGACCGACTTAACAACACCAGCGGAACTTGCCGACTCTACAATCATTAATGAATCCTCTAGCACAACGACCACGACGACGACGACAACAACGACGACGACAACGACCACTGAACCGACAACCACAACGACAACGACTACGGAACCACCGACTACCACCACTCAAGCTCCCGCAGGAAGAGGGAAATTCCGACGACCTGGAATTGGCGGCCCAGCTATCTCGAGAAACCGGTAAATTTTTATTATAATTAATCCTTTCTATTATCACATGCCTCAGTGGTCGATTTGAGACGCACGAAATAGTCGAAAGATTTCATGTTCAAAGCCTAGCTGGCGTAATATTTTTCGCAATAAGCAATTTCCAGTGTTTTAAAATACTTATTAGCATCTTATTAAATTGATGATCAATTTAATTTGTAATATTATTACTACAATTTCAATTTACAATTCAAATCCGACAGTAATCGATGCGCAGTTTACGTAACTGTGTGTACGTATTCAAAATTTACATATAGATATTAGGCATTAAGATCTAATCTATTAACTCTTTTTTACTTACTTGATGTAATTCTTTTCAATGTTGTTTTCATCAATATTCCTTTAAAAATGTTTATTCATAAATTTCGCTTATAAGTCTTCGCAATAAAATTAAAATATAGTATAAATATACAATAGTATTTTTCATTAAGATTGTATTACTAATATTACGAATATATTTTAATTTTATTACGAATTGTATTACTGCTATATTATTTATATTATGAAATTATATTACTAATATAAAATTTCGCCCTAAATTTCCTTCAGGTTCAAGTCCAACGGCAGTACTAGCACGACCGAAGCACCCGCAGAGCCGACCCAAAAAACCCGAACACGTTTCGGCAGCAATGGCTCAAATGGCGGTAGTGGGTTTAAGCGACCTCGACCGGGCGGTAATCACAAACCAATCGAGGAAGACACCGTGCAGAAGGAGACCGCCAGCTCAGTAAACGCAGAGAAACCGCCACCCGGTCGTGGCAGATTCCGCGCACCAGCCGGTGGCAGAATCGCCGTCTCCACCACAACAACGTCGGCGCCATCAAACGGTGCAACGGCGCCAGCAACGGCAGCAGCGTCACGACCTACCTTCAACAAGCTGAACATCAATCGGAGACGCGGACGACCGACTACAGCCGCGCCAGGAAGCGAAGAACCCCAGGAGGGAGCGGCACATTCCGAAACCGGTCAGATTGTCGCCCAGACCGCGCCGGAAAGCGCAACCCCGAAATCCGTCGTTCGCACGAGACTTCCTGGTGCGCCTGCAATTAGACCGGCCATCAGACCGGGTGGTAGAGTCAATTTGAGACAGAAACCGGGACAGCCTTCGACCACAACGCTTGCACCGGAAGCTTCCCCTGACGGCCCTATTGAGGAACCGGCTGGAGAAGGAACCGAGGAGGAAACTCACGAGGTTCATACTTAATTTTTAATCATTTGCATTTTTTGTTCTCTTTCTTCCCCCCGCCCCCTCCTCTCTCTCTCTCTCTCTCTCTCTCTCTCTCTCTCCCCCCCCCTCTCTCTCTCTCTATTTTGCACAAAAAAATGTTTTCAATGTATTTCAAAATTCAAAGAACGTGACTTATTTTTATGAATATTTCTCTCATAAAACATATTATTTATAAATATAAGCAATCCAGCAAAAAAATATCAACAAACAATCCAATATCTAATGGTTACTTTTAAGATCCATTTTTAAATTTATTAACAAAACTAAAGAAACTAAAAGACAAATTTCATATCAATATAAATTTCGTTTTCTTTAATATTTTTAATTAAGAATATTTTTAAATATCTTAATTGGATTAAAAGTACCAACTGTTCAACAAATGTGTCTGTTACCAAGCAAACCATATAATTATGCAAATATCTCTTTCTTTCGATCTACTAGCAATTCCGCGTGCCAAAGGTAAGGTCAGATCTAAAATTCGATCTCAAATATATATATGTATACATATCGTCGTGAGATAACTGCATACTTTGCAAGATTAGGTATGAGGATGCCGTGATGTCAATCGATAAAGTTCTCTCTTTGAGTTTACTTTCACTGAATGGCCTTTCGAAATGTCATCGACGAGATGGGAGATGGTTCGGGATCGCTTTTCACCTTTCGATTTTACAACTTCGCAGTCGTCATCAGTTACGAAACCTAAGCACTGATAAGAATGAAAGATCAGAGACAGAATCTAAGAGGAAAAATGAGAGAGAAAGAGAATGAAAATAGCAAAGAATGAAGATTTTATTACAATAAATAATTAATTTCAAAAACTGTATCTTTTGTATATTGTCTATAATTTATTTTTAAAACTATTATTATATCTCTAAGAAACATTTATTTACTCTTAAAATATTTTGTTTGATTATAATTTAGTATATTTATTCAAAAAATTTTAGTAAGAATTCAAAAAGTGCTTCCAGATAATACACAACATTCTATGAATTTTCTGTAAATATTTATTAAGAATATTCATGTATTCCATGAATGTACTAAAAACACTCAAATATTTATGGTATGTTCATAATAAATCCAAATGGTATCATTACAAATGTATGAACATACATATGTAAAATATCATATACGTTTTATAAAATATTCTACGTATTTGTATTCTCTACTAATTTTTTAAAAAACATTCTATGAAAGTTCCTTTGTTATGAATATAAATGTCTAAAAGAGTACCATGCTCTACAGTTCATAGAACTATCCTAAATTTAAAAGATTTTTATTTTACGAGAATGTTTATAGAATATTTTGTGTTATCTACGTCACATTTTAGCCACTTTGATAAAACATCAAATTCCGAGAAGTTACTATTAAATCTCACTTAAACTGCTCAACTAATTATCTCCTCTGTTTCTTAGGCACCGGCAGAAACCAGCCCACCATCAAAAGCTACCACAACGAATCCTTTAAACAAACTTCGCAACCGCAATCGATTGCAAGTGCAACCGAAAACTACAACAAAATCACCGGCGTTGCCGGCGATCAGAAGATCGCCACTGCTACCGCGACGCAAGGCAACCGAGACCCCGGCTGTTCAATCGAGCCAGGAGGAGACCGAATCTGAAGAGGAAACTACTTCCAGCGAAATCGAGCCGACCGAGGCGGTCCTCCTCACCGAGACTAGCACGGCGGCCAGCGCGAAGCACGAGGAAACACGCGGTCTAAGTGGCCTCTTGGCACCCCGACGCAGGATACCAGCGCGACGTCCAGGTCAGATAATCGCCTAAGAATCAAAGATAACACCGGCATCCTGGACCCCACAAACGAAGCATTCACCCGAGGATCTGAAAGGCGATTCCCGTGATTAATTGAGACGCGAAGATAGAAGAGTATACATAAATTAGACATCCTGTCGTTCGCTCGACTAAATGATACACCAGATGCCAATCTTGGAGCGAGATCTCTCAATATTCCCTCTCTCATTTTTTCCTAATATTTTTCTCTGACCGATAAAACGGCATCTCTGTGTGTTACGACGAATATGGCAGGTGTACATAATAGTGTCTTTTACAAGAATAGCTTCTTTTGAAGAATTTAAGTTTGTAATACTATTTTAATTGTATCCTGAACGTGCGTCAAACGCGACGTTTATTATACAATATACATATATAGTAAATTAATATGTAAAATATGAATTAGTATTTTTCAATTAAAAACAAAATGTTTCATGAAGGTATAATTTTATATTTATGAACGTCCTGCTATATCTGAAGTTATAATTTTGTATCATGTTAAATTGTCTTTTTTTACAGATTCATTGTTAATAAAATAACATGGAAAAACATTAACATGTGAATATTATGATTTTTTATTAAGATTAATGATGGACGTTCCTTTTTATCGTTTACCAGAATCACATATAAAGTTTAAGTAAAGTAGACGATGAGTTATAAGTATTCAATGACTATGTTAATAATATGATCAACGATCTTATCATAAACTATCGATCAATGCATTTACTACGTTAAACCGATTTATAAGCACAATATAATATATCATCTTCGCGTGATGACAATCATAATTATAACCCACGCAATAAGATAACCCAACAAGATAAATAAGTATAATATTTTCAAGTCCAATATACTGCGATAATTGTAACTATCGTATATTTAATTCGGCGAGTTGTATTTAATGATTAGCACTTGCGAAGTTAACGAAGTACTATCTTTAACGTGATACATGCATAGATAGATATATATATATATATATATATATATATATATATATATATATATGTAATAGTAACTCCCTTTCCTCGGGGATGTATTTTTAGGATTATTACTGCGTGTGCAATGCGTAAGGGTACTTTTGTAATTACAATGTTCCACAATACACTGTAAATATTGCAATTAAATATAAAATGAAATGTGTTACATTTTCTTTTAATTTTGCCAAATTCATCCTCATCCAAAAATATAATAATTGCATAACAAATTAATGTTTTCTATCGAAACTATCTAAAAATTAAATTTGGACAAAATATTCATTTTGGACAATATATCTAGATTTTAATAAATTCATTATTCTATTATCCAACTGTGTATGAATTCCATTCTATGCATACGCAATAAATCAATGGATAAATGTAAACATGATAAAATTAAATAATGGCATTAAACTATCCCAGTCAATTCATTTTAACGCAATAGATCTATAAAATATATTTACTTATTTAATTATTTTATTCAATTTAAACGCTTTTAAATAATAAAATAAATACAATAAAGTAAGTATAACAAAATATGAACAAATAATTTAAACATGTCTTCAAAGATATAATACATTCAAATAGCCAACAATTTAATAAAGAAAGTAATTTAAAACATATACTGCATTTATATTATCACAATAAATTTAAATTTTTATATTAATTTAAACTGTAATATAAATTATATTAATAATAATTATGTGATTTTCAGAATAATTATGTGGTTTTTATAACATTAATAATTATGAGAAAAAGAAAGTTTATAAAATTTGGCATTTTTTTTAATGTTTTACATGCAAACTGAAAAAAAATTTGTTCGATTAACTAAACAATGCAAATATTTGGTTAATTCAACAAATTTTATTTAATTGAATTTAACCGTAATCTACTCATTAAACAATTTTTTAAGCAGACTGTTTAATTACTTGAACAAATTTTTTTTCAGTGTATTTACATCTCACATAATTTTTACAAAAATTTATTGTCTCAAGATAAAAAGATAAAAAATAATTAAATACTTATCAATATAATGCTGCAAAATTGTGTACATGCCGTTAACCTGTAAAATGTAAATATATTTAAATTAAAGCAATGCCCAAAAATAATTAATATTTTTAAAAAATATATATTAAATAATTTTTTTGCAAATTTTTCCTTCAAAAATATATTTAATACAAAAATTCAAAATTGTTTGGAAGACAAGATTTCTTCAAATATAGGTTTATATATTTATTAAGATTTTACACATAAATTTCTCAGATAATAAATAAATAAATAACTGTTTACCCAACGATTGCCCCGTCGTAGTCTGATGTCTCCTAGGCCTCCACCTCCTCCTCCTCCTCCTCCTCTTCCTTTTCCTTTTCTCATATTTCTTTATAGCAATCATATAAATACTAACGACACTCGCGAAAATCACATCCGTTAATTAATCACCGAAACTATCGAGCAATGCTGTCGCACTCCCGACATTGTAACGCGATGCGTAGGTATGGATATTTTCCAAATATAAAATCATTAGACATTTTCGTGTACACGGCAATATAAGTTGCGTTCTAATTGCTCTAATCATCGACATAAAACTGCACATCATACTCGAGGGTTACTAATCAGCCGTGTTAGCTTGTGTTTTGCAATGACTGACAATTACAATGATTCCATGATAGAAGTACTTCTACCATGTGACATTCCTAATTGCGGCATCTATAAAGAGATTAGAAAACGTTGGATAGTCAACATTTTTACTATTTATCGTTCAACAAAGACGGAAAAAGCAACATTTAATTTCATTCTGTCCGAAAACATGCACAGTGTATACATTCTGTTCCGAATTACTCACTGAATGTCAATGAAAATAGAACGATGCTTGTGTCGACTTGTGTCACCGATTAAAATGAACCCTCTTTACATACAGTGAGAGCAAAAAGTATTCGTACAAGAAAATTTGTTATAAAAAAAAGCCTTATTTGTAGAAAATAAACATTAACAATTTTATACAATACATTGTTCTAACATAAACAAACGAGCTTCGCATGTATTCCTGATTTTAGAAGCTAAATTTCTCATCTGTATGAATACTTTTTAAATATTTAAACCATACAATTTTTTATTTTCGTTTATTTTTCAGATGATATATTTTGTATAATTAATACACATCTTTTTGGTATATATAGTTTTAAGAAACATAGTTATTATATATTTTATTTTTTATGAATAAATTGTTAATTAATCCAACAAGAAATGGTTAAATTAAACATCGAATCGACGTCAAATTGATATTAAAATCATCGTATTTACATCGATTCGATGACTCATTTCTCGCTAATATTTACTTTTTAAAAATAACGTTTTTTTACAAAATATTTTCTTCTATCTCTATGAATAATTTCTGCACTCACTGTATATTCCTGCGTACGTTTGTGTTAAAATGTATATATCTGGATGTATCAAGCAACTGGAAAGCACCTTACGTCATACATACACAACAATGATAAAATTCGAATACGCCATATTTCATAAAAAAGTCCTCGATTATAACCTCCACGCGACGCTCGTAATAATCACCGAGACATGATCGCCCAACACTTTTCAGGATGTTCCCAATACCGCTTTGTTTTCAATGATGATGTGAGGTGCATCTAGTATATTCCGAGGCGAAATAATGCGAATAAATGTGATATTTACGACGCGGACGAAACGTGCGATTACCGCCGCCCGTGGCGTCCCGTAAATTAATGTGAAGTGTGAATCTAAAGGCTGGTGGAAACCGTTCAAATCTCGCTGCCAACTTCTCGCAGCAGGCGCAATTTTTGAAGATGCTTTTATATGAAAATATGAAATGTCAAGCATTAAAGTATATACTATATTTCATAATTTTACTGAAATATGCTGGATTCAATGTATGTAGGTATAATACATACATTGTTGATGGAATCTTATAGATTATATTATATTATATAAGATGTCGCCGGATTAAACCGCGAAACTTAAAATATTAACAATATAAAAATGCGACCAATATGTATGATTTCATTATACAGATATATAAAAAGCCGTCAAAAATGCGGTTCAAAACTAAATATTGGAATAATTATATATAAATTCATAAATATATTTATCTCAGTTTTGCAACATAATCATTTAACTGCAGAAATAATAATCTTTATAAATTAATTTTTGATTATGTTATTGTTGATGATGATACGTCAATTTGATGCTATTAGTATAGGATTTTAAGTATGCTAATAGAATTAAACTGACGATCAAAAATTAATTTTTGAAGATGTAAAAATATACATTTTCAATACTAGGTATCTATTTTAAAAATATCCTATACACAAATTTAATTGTAGTTGCATAAATAGGATACTTATCAAATAGAAATATTATGGCGACTGAAAATAATATATATTTCTTTCTTCTGATTTAATATAAAATTTACCGACAATAGAAATATCTACACTTGCTCAATTGAAATAATGATATATTGCCGTTCTAATAAATAAACAACTTTATATATTTCGATAAATTGAAATTTATAATGTTAATGAAGTATAACAATCAAAAAATTATAAATAATAAAGTAATAAAAAATTTGACGACTAATAAAAAATTTGCAAAAACAGCAAAGTAAAAATGCATGTTCATATAATATGAATGCGAATATGAAAAAAATAATCGACCTTGATTAATAAATTTCTTATTCTTATACTCTTATACTCTTCTTACAATAAGCTTACATGTATTATAGACGACGCATTGTATGTACGCATTTTCAAAGTA